TTCAATCCTTATTACAAAAAAAAAAAGTTAATATGTGCATGGGATGGTGTTGAATGTATCTTTTGCTAATGTTTAAGTATTTATTTTCATTTGCATTTAAATGCTTTCATTTTTTAAATTTCCCAAGTGTATATTAAATATATTTTTAAACTTTTTCAGTGATTCCACAGAACACCCCAACATAGAGTCTGATATCTGTTCATGGGAATCATTTCTTTCTAATGTTACAAAAGAAATTGAGAGAGCAAAAGTAAGTTATGAAACGTTTTATAAATCTGTCAAAATATTTATGATGGTTACAGTTCTTGTGAGGCTGGTGTCATTTAAACCATTTCTTTTTGACATGTTAATAATAATACTGAATTTTTGTTATCACTTATGAAATTAATGATATTTTCTTAATATTTTGAGGCTAAGGATATAGGATAGTAGAACATGTGCCTAGCCTGCCAAGGGTCCTGGGTTCAATTCTCAGCAATACAAAACAAAAGAAATAAGAAAAATAAGGAAATTATCTTAAATTTTGCCCCTGATTGATGACATTAAATATATATATAAGACTTTGGAGCATTCTGATTAAGGAGAATTAATGTTAATGTTCTTATTTTGAACAAATTTTCTTTAAAAAAATTGTCTTAATACTTTGCATCTCATTTGTTTCTTGGGAAGCTGTTGACTGTTTTGATAGTGTTAACTGGAAATTATAGTTTTCTTGGAATTTGTTAGAGAAAAACTTCACATTTTCTCTTCCACCTACAGTCTGAATTTGAAAATCAAATTAAGGCCATTAAAAATGGTTCTCGACTCAGTGAGCTTTCTAAAGTGCAGATTTCTGAGCTTCCATTTCCTGCCTGTAACAACGTAAGTCGGTTGCATCTTTTTTTTTTTTCTTTCCCTGAAACAAAACATAATGAACCACAGTTTCTTTTTTTAATGTGCCAAAGTTGTTTGCTTATTGTTTTCTGGGAATGGGATGAATTAACAGTTGCCTTAATGTTTTAATTATTGGTACCATTGATTAACCTTTTAATCTTTATAAACATTCTTATATAAATAGATCAGTCTTCTGCCTCTGTGCATTCGTGCAGGACTAAGGCAAATACTATTGGTCCATGTTTTTTCTACACTTTGATGTACTATAGCCTATCGCCATTCTTTTCTAGACGTAGTGTGTATGATGTGTATGTACGTTCTAGCATTTGAATAAATAATACAGAATAGCAGTTTCCTTTGATTGAAGCAGGCCCTCTCTTCTGTACCACCTGGGATTATTATAATTTCTAGATACTTGGAGGCATAAAACCAAAATCTTAAAATTAAGAGCTGTTTCCTCATCAAATATAGAATAAAAACTAGTGTATCTGAGATGTGTAAGACTTTATTGATCCAGCATACCATATTTTACTGCTAATGTGAGGTTGTTCTGAATCTTTTGAATACCAGTGATTGCTCTTATAAAATACCCCAGTAAAGAAAAGCATTAGTTGTATTTTGTAGGCTTTACAGTATAGCTAAACCTAATGTCACTTTATTGTATTCTGGGATACTTGTTATCTGAAGTTTACACACAGAGATTCTTTGTTAATACTAATTGAAACAAATTAGGTTCAAAGATGGTCAGATGATAGGAATTTAAAGACTCTCTAGAAGAGTTGATTAGAGATAGATTTCAGATTGAAATCCTAAAGATGGGGAACATTTTCTACAGCACAAAAAGTGTCTTTCTGCTGGTACCCGACCTTTGCCAGGGATGCTGATCCAGGCTGTGGGTGGTGATCCTTTCATCTCGCTTCAACTGAATGTTTAGTCAGGGGCTTCCCTCTTGGCCTTCCCCTGTGGCCCTTCTGCATGTAGGTTGTATCTCCTATATCTAGATGGCTGGTTCCTTTAATCAGTCTGGTCTTAAATGTCTGAGGGGTAAAAAGGTACATCTACTTTGAACTTTAGTTTATAAAATATTTTATTGATCCAAATTTTTCTGTCTCCATTGAACTGAATAAGAAATTGTTTTATTTCGGACTGAAAAATCACTTCTTATTTATAGTTCTCTTGGTTTTTATAGCAGATATGGAGAGAAAAATCTGTGGATTCCAATATACTATTTTATTATTAATTTGTAATTTTAGCTCATATAATTTTATAAATACTCAAAAGAATTTTCATATCCAAAATCCTGGAAATTTAGTTTGCTAGGAACTTACTTAATAAATATCCTTAAAACCTATTTACTTTTCGTCTCTTTTCTTCCTCAGTCATTTGGAGGATGTTTAATGGTTATTGAGATTAGATGTGAGGTAGGCCCTCTAAGTGCTTATGGGCTTAAATTCAGTTACAAGCAGATGATGCTGAGGTTTTGCATAGCAGCAGAAATCAGGGTCACTATCCTGGTCTAGAGATGGAGACCTCCATGACACAGAGATCAGAAGAAAGAACAGACCAGATGAAGGAGTTGAGGGGATGAACTTTTGGGGAAGGGAGGAATATTGTAATGCTTGGGGTCAGAGTGTTTCAGGTAGAAGAAAGAAAGTATTTGATTGCTAGAATAAAAGAGTGGGGCAGGGTGACATACTCCTTTCATAGCTATAAAAGAAGTTTACTTTAACAAGAGTGAGTGTGGAAGTAGCCCGGGGCCAGGGTCAGGAGATCCTTGTGCTCTAAGCCATGTTATGTCACTAGGAAACTGATCTATGGTTCATGCAGGGAGTACTATCAGCTCTACACTTAATGAAGATGAACTGAATGGCAGTGTGGAGAAGTAGCAAGGAGGGGCTGGTTATTCACTTACTGCCATTAGCCATGTCTGGATGAAGGAGTGGAGAGGGAGTGGATGGAAGAGAACCAAATGGGAGAGGGATCTAGGAGGAGCAGATGAAAGAGCTGTGCCATGCTCAAGACTGGGACAGAGCGTGTGGACATGGGAAGTCTAGGGTGGACTTGAGGGGAAGAGCAGCCCGATGAGACTGCACTGGGGCTGGTTTTGAACACCTTTGGGTCCCAGAGTCGTCCACATGGATCTGTAGATATGGCTCTCAGGATAATATTCTAGACTGGAAACTTTTAAAAGTGGGTATTAATTAGCAGTGAGCATAGTCACTGAGGACTGAGAGGACATGAAATGGCCTCGGAGAAGATAGCATGTGGCAGAGGTTCAAGCCTCAGATGACATTCCTTCTAGAACACCCATACTTAGGCATGGAAAGAGGATAAGAGCTACAGGGGAGAGCTGAGCTCTCCTTGTTGAAGGAGCCAGAGAGCAGAGCCAGAGGGCACATTTTGAGAAAGAAGAGGCAGCTGGCGTTCCTAGATGTCCTTGTGACTTAGTGGAGTAGACACCTTTGGAGAGTGCTGGGACAGCTAGCTTTGATCAACCAAGTTCAGCTAGGAAGGAGAGAAGCATTAGAGTGCAGACTGAAGGAGGAGTATTAGGCAGGTGAAATGTTCTCATTTAAGCAGCTTTTCTAATTTTACAGGAAAAAAATATACTGTAGAAAATTATTTAGAAGTCAGAAATCTACCCTTGCTTTAAGAACTACCAAATTATGATCAGCAATTATTTTAAGACAAAAACATTATTGTATTCAGGTTTCCTATATTATAGTCATGCAGTCTCTGTCCTTGCCTGTTTCTCCTCTTAAGACAATTCCTAAGTGACCCAATTCCTGTGGTGTGTCCCTCACAGATTCATCCTGAGTTTCCCCCTGAGTCTTCAGGACATGATGATCAAGGGCCTGGGACATTTGTAAACAGTGCAACTGGAGCAATTAAGGATTTAGATCTGTTCTCCACCGGTGATTGCCCAGATGAGTCCACTGCACTGTCACCTCGATTGCCCTCTGGTCAAACTGAAGTTACTCAGCCATCAGAGCATACAGGGGCCAGCCAGACAACTCCATCTGAACAAAGCCCTGAGGCACATCAGAAAGTACCTGTTCCTCCAGAACGTGCTTCAAGCCAGTCTCCAAAAAAGCCGTTCAACAGTATTATTGAGCACCTGTCAGTGGTGTTCCCATGGTACAGCAGGTATGAATATAAAACATTTATGACTGTTAAATACTTCATTGAACTGATGTTTCCTGATCAAATAAAATCAAGGCTGGCTAGGGGCTCACATGGAAAAAACTGCATGATGTTTTGCTCATTAGGTGCTACTTTTCTTTCTTTTTGTAAACATAGAGATGAGCATTTTCTTTTCTTTTTTTGTAGTGCTGGGGACAAACACACACCTCATACATGCTAGACCCAAGCTCTACCACTGAGCTACACCCCTAGTCCTCAAATAAATTTTTAAATATGCACATCTAGATTGAAAATATTGAGCACTGGGTAATCAACACTGAACAAAATCTGTCAGTTTGCTAAGATTTTTATGAGATTCATAGCCCTCTCTTAACACTAGTTGTTATGAAATTAGTAAATTAATTGTAAAATAATAGTTTTCTGTCTTTTGAGAGAAGATAAATCACATATAAAAGAAAACAGCAGCAATTTACACCTTGTAGATAGTACCTCTGATTTGTTGGAGGTGCAAGGTTGAAAAGACTAGACTGAATTTGACAGTACATGAGGAATGTATAAATGTCACAGAGGATCCTTGGGAGACTGGGGAAGAACTCCTCTGGGTCAAGAAGAGCTATAAGTGGGGCTGGGGATGGTTGCTAGCACTTCAGCAGTGTTTCTGCCTCCCCATGGCTCCAGGTTGGGACAAGAAAGAGCAAGGTTAGGATTGATGAGTAGCTCAGAAGAGAGGACTCCACACAGAGAATGGCCTCTGTACCTGCCTTGTTAATTCTCATTCTCTGTCAATGTTAGTTACAGGCTTTGCAATTAAAATTTGGAAACAAAGTCATCATTAATGATTGGTCAGAATTAATATTTTACAGTCTCAGTGGAACCCTGCCACTTGAAAATAAGTATATTTTGTCTGCATTTGGCCATATTTTGCCCTAAGTTTGACAAACATTTTAAGTTCTCTCAATAGCAGTTCTCATGTCAGTTGTAAAAATATTCAAGTTGTAATTATCAGAAGTACCCTACAAATAAAATTTCGTACAGTCTTAATTAAATTTGGCAGAAATGTGTTCTGATTTTCTGAAAGCTAAAATATTCGGGGCACTAGTGGTGCAAATATCAAGTTCCCATTGACTGATGGTGTACTCTTCCCATTTGATGGCATTTGAGAAACATTCAGACTTTGAAAGCTGGTTTGTTAGGGATTTTTTCAAAGAAGGAAATCTACAAAGCTAGTTTTTCTTGGATAGAAAGAGATCTTATTGATTTTAAGTTATTTTTAAATAAATAAAACAAACAGTCCATTAACAACTAAAAAAATTTTTTTTAAATAATATTGTGGAAATTTTCACAACTTCTTGGAAAGATTGATTCTGCCTTAAAATAATCATGCTTTTCATGTGTAGTTATTATTGTCCTATGTTCTACAGATTAATTTTTGTATATTTACTTTTTCAAGTTGGACTTCTGGGTTGATATTGGCACATTGACTTTCTGTTGTCATTTATTGTTTACTTTCCCTTTCAGCACCGAGCTTGCTGGTTTTATTAAAAAGGTTCGAAACAAAAACAAGAACTTACTCTCAGGATTGGGTATTGATGAAATTGTCCAAAGAGTGACAGAACACATTGTAGATGAAGAGAAAAAGAAAAAGGTATTTCATCCAGATGCAGTAAAATGTTCCCCTTCATCTTTATTTATTGATATGAGAATTCTTTTTTTTTAAAAGCTTCAAACCAAAATATAGAGAAAATTTACCAAAAAAAATGATCAAACTTTAGGTTACTAAGTTGAACTTTGCTTCCTTTGTGCTCTCTTACCCAATCCCCTTGTTATCTCTTAAGCCAAATCCAGGAAAGGGCAAGAGAACATCTGAGGCCAGCTCTGCTGCTTCTGTGAACCAGTCTTCCCAGGGCCCACCCTCAATTGCTGGACCATCACCCAAAACTAAGGGACAGAAAACAGAAGGTGTCCCCATGAGTGTTGTACGTATAATGTCGTAGCTAGTTTTACTTTTTTTTTTTTTTTAGCTTTTTTAGTTGTAGTTGGACACAGTACCTTTATTTTATTTATTTTTATGTGGTGCTGAGGAGCAAACCCAGGGCCTCGCATGTGCTAGGCAAGTGCTCTACCACTCAGCCCCAGTCCCAACCCTAGTTTTACTTTTTAATGAAGAACAAGAAGAAAACAATTTTAACCCATGATTTAGCACCATTCTTTTCATTTATAGTCCTACTTTATTGGATCCTAAAATTAGAAACCAAATTTTGATGTATTTGAATGTGTCCCATTTGAACAGCAGTGAGTAGTTCTGAGGAATGCCCAGGACCTAGAACAGGGAAAAGCCTTACACTGAATCTCTGACTGCATCTAGAGAACTGAGTTTTCTGTCTTCTTGCTGTGTTGCTGCAGATGGGCAGATATGTTGATATATTTACTTATTTATGTATTTTAGTATTAATTGCAATATTTGGATTAGTTGAAAAAAATAATCTTTAACTAATTTTATTCTTCATAATCATGGACTATGAAATCAGACTGGGTTGCATCACTTCACATCACTGTTTGCTGGGGTAATATCTGCCCTGACCAGGCTATTTCTGGATGAAATGCTGCCATGAAAGGACCAGGTCAGCCCTGTACTGAAAATCTGGTTTTTGCCCTTCACCTCTTCCCTCACACACCTGGGAAGGGCACACTGGAATGGGCTAAATGTGCCTGAAATCTAACATGCCGATGTAAGTTGTTTCTTCTCCTTTTAAACAGTAAGAATCATTTTCATTTACATGGAACATTTTATAAAATGCTGTTATAACTATGTCTGAGTTGATAAGGCCTTGTAATTGTTTATATTTTATAATAAGGAAATCAAGGCCCAGATTTGACTTTCTAGCATTCACTGACTGACGGCATAGTTGTAGCTCAGACTGGGCCTTTTGACTGAAGTGAACAGCATGTCATTCCCAGTTCTTTCCACACCAGAGACCCTGTAGGGACTGCATGTGGTTGAAAGAGGGGCCATCAACTCATGGCTCAGGTAGGGGGCCATGATTGAATTCTGGAGTGAAGCACATTTCCCTGTTGCTCCAACTGTGGTAGCAGAGTGTAGAGGACAATGAAAGGTCACAGCCCCGTAATGTTCTCAGCAGTGAGTTCACAATACAAGATGTAGAGTAAGGCTAGTATGTTAACTTGAGCTCGCAGTGAGTCTTTTCATGAACTTACTTTTATTCCTTTTATACATTTTGTGCTTTACACTATACCTTTGAAGACTTACCACACCACATACACTCAACTCCCGAAGGTCTCATCCCCAACCATATTCTAGAGAGAGTGCTTATAGGCACGTGGCATACCCACCTCGAGTCAGTCCCTGCTTCTCCCAGGGGTTTCTTATGTGACACATGTTCTGTGACCCTTTAACCAGGCAGGATTCCCAGGGCGAATATTCCCATTCATGTGCATGTGTGTTATGACCATCCCCACCTCAAGGTAGACTTGAAGTAATCACCTGAAAGAGATCTCCTAGTTCATAGTCAATGTTGATAATAATAAAGTTATAAAAGCCACTTTATTTAAACTTTACCAAATTACATGAGAAATAAAAATTTATATTCAAACTGGTACTTAACTAGATAATTATAGGTAGTGTTTGAAAAATGAAAAAAAGTTGTTTTATATTTTTAGATTACAGAAGTAATACACACTCAAAATAGAAAATAGAAATAAAGGGGGCATATTAAAAACCCTAAAGCTGAGCATGGTGGGAACACGCCTGTAATCCCAGTCACTTGGGAAGCTAAGATAGGAAAATCACAAGTTCAATTTCTCTACCACAATACTCTGTTTGAAAAAAATAAGAACTCTTAAAATTTACCCTCTAGTTAGCATTATTACATTAGTATATATTTTTCTAAACACACACACACACACACACATGTATATATATATATATATATATATGTATTAATTTAATCAAAACAAATACCAGAGTCATACTTTTTATGTTCTTTGGGGGATATTTCAATTTTTTTTACTGTGGTTTGCTTTTTACTTAGAAATATACTGTGTTCATCTTCCCGTACTAGAAAACAGTCGAGTTAACTGTATGTTTTCCCAGCTAACCTGGCTTTGAATTTTGCAAAGTGAGTTGGAGAGGTCTTCTGCCCTTCCCCAGGGCTCACACCTCCCTTTCTTCCCTGATCCTTGACTCACAGACAGCAGTAGAGCAACATGAACACCTTTGTTCTCTCTGGTCTGCCCCTGTCTGATTTGTAATTCTCTGTCTGTACCCTGCCAGCACTTAGGGAAGGAGCAGGACCCCACACAGTAGTTCAGGATCTACACAGCTTGATGTCTGCTTCAGTCAGTCACTTGGAATGTTTTCATATTTTTGGAACATCAGTTGGGGCAAGGTTTCTTACCAGATGCTTAAAGTCCAGAAAAATAAGACTCATGTCCTGCCTTTAGAGTGCTCAGAGTTAAGAGGCAAGTTAGAATAGAGCTGATGCAGTGCATGATCAGTGCTGTAAGCTGCAAGGCGAACTCTGTGCTTGGTGGCCTGTCACTTGGAGTATGTGTCACATAGGAGGCCAGAAAACTTACACTCATCTGTTTCCAGTGTCTCACACAGTCCCCGACTGTGGATGTTAGTTGGTTTAGCTGTCTGTTTTGAAATGCACTAATATTCCATGTTCATGGAAACTTTTAAAAAATTATAAAAAAATTAATCTCCTTGGCCAAGGGGTAACCCTATTAATATTTTTATATCAGATTATTTTCTAGGCACTTCTGTAGACATTCTCTCTTTTTAAAAAATTGAATTACATGATAGACTGTTATATAACTTGCATTTTTTTCAATGATTTATGGTGACCAGCTTTCTGTGTCAAGGATCATGGTATTCCATCATGATGTTAATTGGCTACATGATAGTCTATTGTGTAGATTTGTCATAATTTAAGTCCCTGTTAGATAATTAGATGAATAATTAATTTGTAACATCTAGTTAATAACCATACTTCATATATGCTATAGGGATAAATAGTATAATATAAGTAGTAATATCTCACCAGGGAATCTGTTAATTATAAAAACCAGTATTCCCTCTGAGAACATTAGAAATTCAGAAATATACTTTTATTTTTGTATTTTTATGTTTTCTCTTTTAAAATGCTATTTAAAAACAAGTTGTTTCTTCGTTCTGCCCAGCCATAATTTACCACCCTTTGTGGCAAAAATGTTTGAAGGCCACTCGTGTCATGAGTCATGAAAAACTCATGTCATAAAGAGAGATTTCTTTAATCTTTATTTTTCAGATATGTTTGTTTCCACAGGTACTAGATGCAGATTCCTGTGAAATATGCCATGAGGTGTTCAAATCAAAAAATGTGCGTGTGCTAAAATGTGGACATAAGTTTCACAAAGGGGTAAGAATTCTCTTTGACCATCTATATCATGCATTGTGACTGCCAACTGTTTTGAAAATAAAAAAGGAATTTTTTCTTAAGTATCGATACTTATAATTCCAAGCCACTCTATAAGCCTACACATGTCTCTGGTCATTGCCCTTTGCAAAGACTGGTGCTGAAGAAGCGAGAGAGTGGTCCTGGACCAGGGGTGTGTGCAGCTCTGCAGACTGTACTTTCTGTAATAATGTCACGGGTAGAAAAGAGTTGACTTCAGGAACTATAATAGGTACTGAGAGTCAAAGCAATATGAATTCCTTTAAAGATGGTTTATTACATGACTAAATGAATAAACAGTGTAGCACTTTATTAATTTAGTGTACTGTATAAAGGTGGTTTAACATTTTAAAAGAGAAAAACTAAACCTTGTTGGGTCCCTTGTGCTTGACTCTGAGCATTTGTACTGTACTCTTTCTGCTGAGTGAGGACAGATCAGGTCTCTGTTGTGCTGATTTATTCATCCTTGAGAAAGGGATGCATACAGAATACTCACTAATAGGAAATGAGAAAGCTTTCTCCTCCAGATAGGGCATCCCGGCTTGGACTTTGTAGGTTTCCATGCATACTCAGCCATGTTGCAACAGCAGGCTAGCTAAGATCAACAGGGAACATGGCATACAGGCTGGTGGGATGTTTAAGAACCAGGCCAAGACCATGAAGAGGAATGGGCTAACATTTGGGTGATAGGGTCCCAAGAGTCATCAAAATGCTGACCTCCTACAAAACATGGCGACTGGTGCTGAAGAATTGAGACTGGAGCCAGATGTAGTGGAGGACAAGGCCACACAGGGGGCCATATCTGAAGGGGGCTTCCGTAGTTTTATCCATACTCCTGTTCTAAGCAGCATTACTGTCCTTGAGTATTGGGCAGCATTAGGCCCCATCAGACTTGCAGGTGACATTAGCCGTGTATGCCAAGGAGACCTGCAGTGCAGGGGAACTAAGACCCCCACATGGTCCTGAAGGCACTGACTGATTTTGTTTTCTTCTTTTCAGTGCTTTAAGCAGTGGCTAAAAGGGCAGAGTAATTGCCCTGCCTGTCGTGATGGTGATCTGTCAGAAGAGTAGTCTGTGTCTACCCTCCAGGACTGGCCAGCCAGGATTGCCTTCCTGCTGCTCTAGGTAGTCACTAAGCGTCACTCACCCACATACCAAGTTGAAATAATGATAATTCCTACTTTCAGTATAAAAAACAGACATTTCTGGCATTCTGTATCACAAAGCCAATCAGTAGAAATCTTTAATTCAGTTGCTATTAGGTAATTTCTCCACTCTGATTCAATATTTCAGTGATAGTCAAATAATGGCTTATCAAATGATGTGTCATCGCATTCTTACATTGTTAGGGCTGTTGTGGAGATCTGTGAGATGGGAGCTTCTTTGGGGAAGTATTGTGAGCACCCCAAAGCAGTTTAAATTATAAGAATTCTTAACCTGGTGAAGTGCCCAGGTTTCCCTTTTGTGTTTGAAAAATCTGTTCCAGTGGCTCTATAACAGAGATGATATTGACCTTTAAAATTTTTTATAAGATTCGATAGTCTGAAAATATGCTTACATTTTCCCTCAGAGATACTACATTTTTAAAATGGGCTTAAACAAGTCACATTTTAATAATTTGTACTTGATATTAAAATATTGGCTGATATGGACCAAAAAGATTCACATTTCCTCTTCATGAAATGTCATGTGCTTTTGATTTTCATTTTATTTGTTTTTCCATATATTTTTTTCCCTTCATATGGTAGTAGATTGAATCCTGGGCCTCACAAATGCCAGTCAAGGAAGCTTTCCACCAGTGGGCTACATCCCCAACCACTCCATAGGTTTTTATTTTATTTTTGTTTTTTAATTTTTTTTATGATGTAATCTGATATTTGAAAATCAATTGCAAAATTACTTTATTAGTTATCAGCCAAGACTTTCTTACCCCCCAAATCAAGGCCGTGTATTCAACGTACCAACCACACATTTGAATTTGTTCTTAGAATATGCTGCTGTTCTCATTAGCAGTATTTGGCTCTCTTTGTGAGTCAGTCAGCAAGTGCTTGGATATCTACATCTAGCTCAGTGCTGAGCCCGCACAGACGCTGTATAGACTAGTAACCATCGTTCTCCTTCTTACCCACCCCCAAAAAGAGAAACTTGTGTAATTAGACAATTCTGCGGTGTCTGTGTTACAATTGTTCTGTGTTTTGACATTTGTGTAAAATAATGCATGCAATTTGTACTGTGCCTAAGAACAAAACTGTGACTGCATTAGGAACTATTTAGATTCTTTTAGTGACCTATGGACAGTGGTAAATATGGAAAAGTGAATCCTGGACACATTCCACCTCTCAAACATGAAGGATCAAAAAGTGATTTTCAGTGTGTTCTTCATTCCACTGCAAACTCAGTCAATCACGAGTGTATGGGCAGATTTGGTCACCTTCCTCTGCCTGTGCTCCATGTGAGTTGTGATGTCTTGGTGACGTAGTCCATAGAAGCCCCCTCCTTACTCTGAAGCATTCTCCATCTTGGTCCCTAAAACATTGTCTGCATTTTCATGGCAGTTAAGAGCTGTGCATATTAAAATACACAAGGGACAGTTTGTAGCAACTGGTATGAAGGAGAAAAGCAACTAACAAGTGAGAGAATGTATTCTGTCCTTAACTTCAGAGCCTTGTGAACATGCCTTACATTTGTCCAGTAATTGTCAATAAACAGCATTCTAAAAGACCAGCAGTGCACTGTCATTCTTGCCCATTCTTTCTCAGATAATATTAAAATACATTCTACATGAAAATTCAAGGCCTCCATTCTATGCTAACATTTTAAAAGTGACTTACTTCATTTGGAAAGAACAGCCATGCTACATCTACTAGAACCTGGTTCAAAACTCCTTTGTGCCTAAATAAAACTTGACAAACTCACGTTTACACGATTAACTATTTAAATTTGTGAATTGGATTTTTATGCATAAAGAGTTCACTATTTTAGGCTTAATTAACTGATTTTTCATGTGAATACAAATACACACATATAAGAACCCTGAAGACAATTACATTTCTCAGGATTTTTTTTTTTTTTTTTTTTTTGCATCTGGAACTAATGAGGCTGCTTGATTTAATTTATTTTTGAGTATACTCACTGTAAAAGATTAAAGAATGCAAATTTTAAAAATCTAGTGTTTATTCAAGCATATTCAAAGAATTATCAGTACATATTTTTAATCTGTTAACATTCAATTCAGAATAATGTATAACTTAAAGCAGTGGTTATTCTTTTAAAAATAAGGTTATTTTTCTCTACTGAACTGCTTAATTTGTTAAGAATAATGAATAATAAATAAAATCGAAGTGGTACCCAGCACAATATTACTACATTTTTAAGTTAATTTTAAAGATAGTATATACAGTGGAGACAGGTGGTGAGAATGATCAACACATGACATTTGTAGCAATAGAACTAGAATAGAGTAGTTTTCAGTCAGACACCCCTCTGTGAAGGGAACAGGTGGAAGAGACAGTGCAGAGATGGGAATTTCTTTCATCCACATGAGGCTGTCACCCAGGAGACTGAAAGGCAAAGGTAGTCAAGTGATGAGCAGTTTGTTAGAATGAGGACCCCAAACATCTCAGGACCCAGCATGAAAGAAGCACAAAAGATATTTAGGTCTTTTAAACACATTCAATAGGCTTGATTAAAAGGCTTATCTTTAACAGAGTTGGTCCAGTCATGTCTAGTTCCTTTTTATTTTTCTTCTTTATTCTTGACACAGTGAAGACGTCCATATTCCTATGGCCATGTACACTTCAGAGCCTTCCAGGCAAGACCTGCCATGGAAACAAATACTGGAAACTATTTATTTGACAGGGGTGTAGGAGTAGTTTACAAGGCAACAGGCCAGATGTTTTGATTACACTGGTAAACAAAAGTTAGGGGCCCCATGAATCCTGTTATGGAGTTAAATAAATAACAAATATACAAAGTCATCTCAGGTAGTCAGAAGAGTTTTGAAGGAGAAGCAAAGAAAGCACTTAGATTAATAAAATTTTCAAGGGCTTAGCATAGTGCATAGCACAAAAACCCTTGAAAAGGGGGAACTAGTAATTGGTAAGATGAGGGTCTGGAAAGTGCAAAGGGAGAGTTTGATCCTATAAGAAAAAGTTTTGTGAGGTTAGGTCATAGCATTTTCTCAACACAGCCCAGACTGGAATGCAGTTAAGTAGTGAAAAGACCAAGAGGAAATCAGATCATCTCAAAATCATTTTGAAACATAGCCGTGTTCCTGAAATCTTGACTTGAAGGGTAATGTGATTGTAGAGGAAAGGACAGTTTCACATTTGGCTTTCCCAGATTATCTGTACGAGCACTCTTGAATTGGCCTTTCCTATTCAGTTTACAGTCAGAGCCCACCCTCCCCAACTCGGGGTATTTGAACGGACACGTTGGAAGAGCCCAGACAAGGTGATCCCCAGTGAAGAAGCTGTGTACTCCAGACTCCTCAGCTTAGGCTGAGCTTGGGGTGTTCTCATTCATTCTAACATTGCCTTAGCTGTGTGTTGTCTCTTCCTATTCCCCCTTTAACTCCTCACGAAAAAGAAAATATTTAGGGCTGGGGCTGTAGCTCAGTGTGCAGAGTGCTTGCCTAGCATGTGCAAGGCACTGGGTTCAATCCTCAGCATCACATAAAAATAAACACATAAAATAAAGGTATTCTGTCCATCTACAATTACAAAAAAAATTTTAAAAATATTTAGCAAAGATGCAGAAGTTGAACACCAATAGTCAACTACAAAGTCCTAATGAATCAATCATCAAATCAAAGTGGTCAAACCATCAAGTCAGAAAAAAAAAGTTTTTTTAGCTACATTAAGAATGATTTTAGATATCCCTTGTGGGGAAAAAAAAACATACTTTGATCTCATAGTATATAGAACATCAATTCCAAATGGATCATAGTCCTAAATATGAAAAATAAAATAATGCTGCTCTATAAGAATACAGTTTTCCTTCCCTTGGAATAGACAAAGATTTCTTAGAAAACAAAAAGCACTAGCTGTAAGAATAAAAAGCTGATAAGGTGGATTTTGCTGCAGTTAAGAAGTTACCAAGGGCTGGGGCTGGGGCTCAGTGGCAGAGCGCTTGCTTAGCATGTGTGAGGCGCTGAGTTTGATCCTTAGTACCACATAAAAATAAATAAATAAAGATATTGTGTCTATCTACAGTTAAAAAAAAAAAAAAGAACTTACCACTGTTTGTGAAAAAGCAAGCCATTGTATGGAGGAAATGTCAATTCATGCTTCCAAAGAAGAGAAGGCCAATGTCGTGAATAGGCACAGATTTTGAACTGGTGTTTCACAGATATCCAGTTGGCTTATGTGTATTTTGATAGCCAAATTTGTTCACTACCCATCGTCAAGGAAATGTAAGTTACAATCCTAAAATTTAACACCTAGAAAGATACAGTAAGTTGTCTTGAAGTTACCTGGTACTGGTAAGGTGGTTTATCTGCTTCTCATGGAGTTGTTCATCTCTAAGATGTGTGTGAAGGTCTGGGGTGCTGGAGTCAGCTCAGACCAGGCTTCAGAACAAGGGCCAGTTGTTAAATTTTTAGGAATTTTGTGAACCAGTGGTCAAACACAGCTACTATTAAACCGTGAACAATACAAGCAAGCAATTGCTGAGGGCCATTACCAAGTAGGAATGACGCATCG